AAAATATTAATATATAATATTATATATTATATAATATAGTTATAATGTACAATACTGTACTATAATATTATATATTATAAAATATGTTTATAAATATAAAAATATTTTAAAAAATATTAATATTTTTAGTATTCTATATTATATAGTATAGTTATAATATATAATACTATAATATTATATATAATGTATAATACTGTACTATAATATTATATATTATAAAATTTATTTGTAAATATAAAAATATTTTAAATAATATTAATATATAATATAATTATATATATAATATAGTTGTAATATATAATACTGTATTATAATATTATATATTATAAAATATATTTATAAATATAAAAATATTTTAAAAAATATTAATATATAATATTATATATTGTATAATATAATTATAACGTATAATTCTGTACTATAATATTATAACATTATAAAATATATTAATAAATATGAAAATGTTTAAAATTACATAAGAGTGGAAGCAAGAATCGCATCGACACGCAACGCACGACTCGAATAGAGATACATTTATTTATCCTTCACTTTTGCGCCGAAGCAAGTAAAATTTGCTTATTTGTTTTTGCTATCGTTGGCGTAACTTCGGATCGAGGGTTTTCTCGCGAAACGAAATACCGTGTTCAATTCCGTAGTAAGTTCGACGCAACCACGTGTGAACCACACTTTCTCTCTCTCTCTCTCTCTCTTTTTATTACGGATGCAGATTTGTCCGCATGCAGAGCGCAGCTTTTCTCTTCGCTGTGTACGTTAGATAAAAATACTCTGAAAGAAACATTCTGTCAGTTCTTACTCGTTTTCTTCGCTTCTTCTCGCCTTTTCGCTTTTGTTTCTTTCGTCGCTTTTTCTCTGTTTTCATTTCTCTCCAATCTCGCCGTTTGCAAATGCGTATCGCGTGCCTCGGGAGAATTGTCGCCAGTATCCCTAATTCGTGTAGTATATTTCAGCCGTGAGTAACCGAGTTCTTAATTTTTACGATTCTCTGTTAATCATTATCGTCATTTATTTATTAATTTCATGGCACGCAGTTTGGTACTTTTTAGTTTATATATTTACAATATAGCGACAGTTTTGTGCTATAATTGTTTTTATTGTCGTTAAAATAATGTAATATTATATTATACATAATAGTCTTTATATTATTACTATTATATTTATGTATTATTATATAGTATTAACAGTAATATAATATTATGATATTAATAGTAATAATTGTAAAACATAAATATAGTAATAATAATAATAATATATAGAATATTATGTATCATATTAGTCATCAGTTTTGTACTATAATTGTTTTTATTGTCGTCAAAATAATGTAATCTTATATTATACATAATAGTCTTTATATTATTATACTATTATATTTATGTATTATAATATAGTATTAACAGTAATATCATGTTATAATATTAATAGTAATAATTGTAATACATAAATATAATAATAATAATAATAATATATAGAATATTATGTATCATATTAGTCATTAGTTTTGTGCTATAATTGTCGTTAAAATAACGTAATATTATATTATACATAATAGTCTTTATATTATTACTATTATATTTATATATTATTATATAGTATTAACAGTAATACAATATTACGATATTAATAGTAATAATTGTAATACATAAATATAATAATAATAATAATAAAAAAATATAGAATATTATGTTATGACAATAATAATATATAGAATATCATGTTATGACAATTTAAAAATATATTTATATATCATGATATTTATCTCAAAGTATTTTATATTTTTGTGTTTCATTCTACAGTCCAATAATTTCATAATTTTATGTTGCATACAGAGTGAATTATTGCATATAATTTAACAAACTCTTTCAAAGAAAGAGTCCTCCACTGTTAAGAGGATAAATATAAACTCGAAAATTTGATAATACTATTAAAAACCGTAGAGCGTTTCAATTTTTCGCGAGACAACTAGGAGAAATCTAAATGTACAAAATAATCAGGTAACAGACTTTATATCAAGTATGCCTCTACTTAAGAGAATTTCCACGTAGAACTCCATTTTCACTGTTTTGTATCATTATTAACTCGTCGATAATACTCAAACATTCGTCCGTCTAGTCGTATTTCATGTCCGATATTTATCGTTGTCGATAGATAAGACGAAGAGTGAAAGAAAGGATGAAAGAAAGGATATTGCATAGTGATTCAGAGGGATATTGCAAAGGATATTGATAGTCGATGATAACATGCAATTAACGTCTTACCTGACATAGTCGCGCTTGCAATAAGTTTTTCCATCTCGTACGAAACAGGTGCAGTGCTCGTCCAGAAATTGTTGACACTCCGCGCATTTCAAACAGGCGGCGTGCCATTCCAGATTCGGTGCAACTCGCAAGATCCATTGGTCGTGTATTCGGCCACCGCATCCCACGCAATGCGAGGTCGTGTTTTCTGCAAAAGAGAAAAGAAATACTAATAACAATGACAATGATAACGACTTTCAGTTAGCATACAGCGAGCAACGAAGGTATTCGAACGGCACGATAGGAAATAATCGATTGAACAAACATTGTATAATAAATTGCAATTTATTGAAACAAATTGTTTCTATACTGTTGTATATACATTTGCTAAATGTGTGAAAAGTTAGAGAAAAATTAAAACCACAAGTAAATAATAAATTACATAACATTTTTCACGGATAAACGCATATAAGGCATAACAAAACGTATTCGAACGCAATTTTAATAGTCATGATAGAATGCAATATATGTGATTATATCTAGTTGGGCCACTCTTGGCTTTAACAACCTCTCGAAGACGATTTTCTATAATATTGACTAACTTTCTGGTAACACATTTGGATCCATAGAGCACCACATAGAGCTGCTAGAATATTTTATGTTTTAAAGAATTATTTACTCGTTATATTATTTCTTCTAAGTCTTCTATCAAGTCCTTCCTATAAATGTTCGATGGGATTTAAGTCAGGGCTTTATGGTAAGGGCTGGTTAATGAATGGGGTACATTATCTGAGATCCATTCTTGTACTGTTTTGGCCGTATGTTTAGAGTCTCGGTCCTGCTGGAAGCAAAAATTTCTTGACACATTTAATTTCTCCGCACTGTCGATGAAATTTTCTTTTAAAATATTTAAATATTTTAGCTTTGTCCATGATTCCATCGATGAATACGAGATTTCCAGATTGCCAATTAGCAGGCATTCAGCTCTATAACCATTACGGAGCCTCCAATTTTTTGAATCCAACTCCTTGTTTGACTTCTTCCATACTGTTCTCTTACTATTGGGCCCAAATAAATTGAATAATTTACTTTCATCCGAAAAACATAACAGTGTTCCAAAAATTATACGTCCTTATTTATATACTCTTTGGCAAATTTTAAACAAAGTAATTTACTCTTCTTGCTAATGTGTAGTTTCTCTCGCGGGACTCTACCATGGAAATTGTTTTTCCATAACATTCTTCGACATAATTGGGCGTGTACTTCTTTGTTAAAGTTTGCAACAACCGTTGTTGCCAATTTTAGAGCAGACGTAAACGGATCTTTCTTCATTTCACGCAAAAGCAATTCTTCTTCCCGTGGTGTTAATTTTTTTCGGACGCCCAGATCTTTGTTCATTTGCAATATTTTCGTTCGTATTATACTTTTTTTTTTATTATATAATGAATTGTTGATTTGCTTCTGCTTACAAGAGAAGCAATTTCTTTATATGATTTGCCTTCTTTGTGCAATTCAACAATAATTTCTCGTTCGGTCTACTTACTTTTTGATGTTTTACCATTCATTAATTTGAATTAACAAGTTAACGTTTAACTTTCGGTGCCGTTTGCTCTCAAATACTGTTGGAAATACACTGAAGATCTTTTGTTTACATTTAGACCTCGCGACAGTTTACAACGTATAATGTTTATAATTCAGCGTTTGAATACTTTTGTTACGCCTTACATGTACTTACCCGTGAAAAATGTTATGTAATTTGTTGACTTATTGTTTAATTTTTCTTTAACTTTGCACATAATTAGCAAATGTATATACAATAGTATAAAAACAATTTGCTTTAATAAATTGCAATTTATTATACAATTTTTGTATAATCACTTATTTTCTATCATGCCGTTCGAATACTTTCGTTGCTCCCTGTATATACATATATATATACATATATATATACATATATATATATGTGTGTATGTATGTATGCTATTTTTTTCTTTTTTTCAGTATGCAATTAAATAAGATTAAAAGCACTGTTGGGCTCATTTCGGTTAATGGAATTTGTAACCCGAGCGCGCAGGAATCGATCGAATGTATTCGTTTTCCAATGTTGTTTGAGACGTGTTAGTTAAAGATTACTTAAAGGGAGAGAGCGACGCGTTTCCTCACGAGTTTCTTGCATTTTGAATAAACAATCTAGAGTCAACTGTTTTCTGCAGCGTGGTCGAAAAAGCATCTAGGTTTTCGATACGATATTTTTATGAAAACGAATGATATATTGGCAAACTATGTTTCCATAAATTGTGTGTTCACTACATGCAGTAGCATTTTTTAATAGTGAGTTATATAACTGAACTAGAGGTATTGATATACATGGTGTTCTTTTTGCAACTCTTTACTTGAAGACACGTTTTATTTTTCAGTACAATTTCATGTGAATTATGTGTGTGTGTGTGTATATATATATATATACATTTTATAATATAGATATATTATAAAATTAATATTATATCCAATAATTAAAATTAATATCATATCTAATATATTAGATATTTGGTTCGTCATTAGAGTGCGAGTTGTTGTACATTTGTAAGAAATTTAATATATAGATACTCATGAAATATATACATAACATACAAAATTATAGAAAGCATACGAAGCATAGTATTTACTAGAATATTCAGTGAATAAAATAAATTTTTTAAAACACGAATTCGCTTAAAAATCCACAGTTTATTTATCACATCTATAAAATATCAAATTACACGATACTTTGTACTTTGTAACAACGTTTTTCAGTTTTTGGAATAACTGTAAAGAATATCTAAAAATTTTTTGAAACGGGAGTCTATTGAAAAATGGACGAATGATGCATGAATACATCTTTGTAATTGAAAAACGATACTCAAAATGATACTTGAATGAAAAAAAAAAAAAAAAACGATAGCATTAACATTCAAAGGTGCAACGAGAGAACGAACATCGTTGTCAATATTTAATTGGGATTAACCTCACCAAATAATTTAGCAATAATCAAATATTTATTCAATATCGTACAATTATTATTCAATGCCGTAAAATCCTGAGAACAGTTTCATTTAATCGCGGAATTAATATCTGCAGTGAAGTTAAGTGCTTTGCGCTTAATTTCACCCTTGTGTTCATTTATTTTCAATCATTGAATTACACATTTTAGATTTTCGTAGTGTCGGGTGTAAAAATATACTGAAAAATAGTCTGCAGTTGAAAATAGAAAAAGTCAAGTTTGAAGACTTATCAATTGTATACGTAAACTTATCGCCAATTTTCGACGAGATTATTCCAACTGCAAAAAAAAAAAAAATAGGTCGAACGTGTCGACATTTTTTCAAAAAGGCGAGAAAATTAAACTTCGAAATTTTTTAGAATGAAAGATACATCGAAGCTATTTTCTTTGAACCAAAAAGTTTGCATTTTTCACTCGTTCTGGAAAAGAACCAAAATACTTAAAAAAAAAAAAAAAGTGCAAACTAGTTTTTCTCGAAAATAAAGTTTCGAAATAAAAGAACTTTATTTGTTTTCGTTTCGATTTAATTTTTGTCTCTGGAACCATTCTTTTGTTTTCTTCGGTTTTACAATATCACGAAAAGTGAGATACTTTGAAGAATAGAATTTCTTATTAAAATTTAAATTTATCATTCAATGAACATTTCCTTATCTTGATTATGTGAAGCGTGCAACGTTTTATAATTTTGTCCTCCATTCGTTCAAATTTGCTTCTTCGTGAAATACAAAATGTTAATGACAAATAGATATGAGTAGCAGGATTTCAAGTAATAGCAGCGGCGTACGCCAGTGGAAAATGATTGCACATCAATCAAACACATAATCAGTGGTTTCATTTATTCGCCAAATCCAGTTACAACAAACTGTCTATTACATATTTACTATGTTTATGCATTAGTGACAGGATCATTGCCAATAATGACTCGTCGAATCGATAAAGCATGTAGGGATTTCGCGTTGTCAATCACGAGATAATTGGATCGTTTAATTAATCGATTAAGTGTGTAACAGCTATTATTTACCCTCTCCATAAGTTATCAACTAAATACATCCATCTAAGAAACGAAATTCGAGTCTACATAAAATGTTTCTCGAAGTTTGGACTTACTGAGAACATTAGATAGAAGGAGAATCATTCAGGATAAAAATGTTGAAATTTCATTGTTAACTCCGTGCTCTGTAATTTTTTTTCCAAATTTGGACAAATATTTATTATTGTAAATGCAGCATCGTATTAAAAGAGAAATGTCGAAACATCGCGTTGCATTATTGTGTTGTTATAATACTGTAATATATAATACTTAATTATGATAAATATATAAATACTATTATATATATAATATTATGTACTATTATATTATTTCTTATAATTATAAGAAATGATACATAATATAATAATAATGTAATATTGTAAAAATATATAATATAAGTACATAAATAATATAAATAGTATTGCTATATATATGTATATATATGTATATAATATATATAATACTTAATTATAATATATATATAAATACTGTATAATTAATATATATATATATATATATATATAATATTTATTATATACTATTATATTATTTCTTATAATTATAAGAAATGGTACATAATATAATAATAATGTAATATTGTAAAAATATATAATATGAGTACATAATATAAATAGTATTACTATATATATATAAAATTTTGTCCGCTAATTTTGATAATAACTACCGTGCACTGAAAACCACGTAAATTATTTTTTACACTTGCGACAACACAATCAGCCAAGTTAACTTTTAACTTTTAAGTCAGTGACCAGGAGCTGCGCGCTTTTAAACGATCCCGATGCGATCCGCCATTCACCACCGCGAACGATCGCTATTGCAATCTCTCACTTATTCGTCACAGCCCGCGTCGAGTACTTCAAAAAGCGCGCCGCATGGAAAACGATCCAGCGAATGAAGTCCCATTGTCGAGTGGTCGAATCGTCTCGAGTGAGGCGTCTAAATAGAAACGGGCTTCCTCCACTTCTCCTTTCATATTGTCGCCGTATAGAAAACACGCGCGCGTCAGCCGCCAATGCGGACACTTCTCCGTGAAAATTACAGTCATCGTCCATTGTCTCGGCGAGTGAGATGCGTGTAAAAAGCGGGGCAAGTCGAGATTTCACCGAAAAGCCTATTGATAAGTTTTAACGCGCAGAGGGGAACAAAAGAACCTCCCGCCCCATTGTTTGCCAGATCTGATTTATCCCTGCAACGGGTGTTACGGGTGCTACGATAAAAATATATATTTCCTCGGCGTCGTTCCTCGGCAACGATTTTCGAAAATCGATCAATCGAAGGTGGTCTAGATAATCTTTTTTTTTTTTAGACAAATTCACGCGACGAACCGACACGATTTAACCACTTGCGCTGGCAACTGGTTCGCGGACCATAACGAGCGACCGAACCGTACACGATAATTCGTCGCTTTCTTTTTCTATTGAACTCGCGTCGGTATGATATAAAACGTCGGATAGAAATTATGAAGAAGTAATAGACTTATCATTTGTTTTGCCTGGGTTACATTTAAGTGTACTTAAGACTGAGAAAATGTCGCAATTTGGGACGAAAAATCCTCGACGAGTTATTCCAGCGCAAGAGGTTAAAATATCAATTAACCCCTTGGCGATTGATACCGTGAAACGAAAATTATACTGCGTGGTATGAAGCAAAGTTGAACAAGAAAATAGTTAAAAATTTCCTTGAGAAACGTATTCAGTCGTGGAACTCTTTTTTTTTTTTTATTCTTAAGTGGACTATTAAATTAATTGAATTAATAATTGTATTATGCGTACAGTTTGAAGATTTATATCCTTTTCTTATGTTTCTAACGATGCAGAGAAAAATTTTATCTCCATTTACCTATTCTGTTATTAAGTACGTTTAAAGTTTTCAAATCTTTTTTTTAATTGTTCCCTCCTAAAAATAAAGCATTGTGTGATAGATTTTTTTTTTTTCTATGAAGAATTTACACAGTGTTTGATACTGACGAACGTAAAATCCGAAGTTGTCGTCGGATTAAATAACGTTGACGAAGATGTGACTTCAAATTGAAGGATTAATTGATAAGTTAGAACATTATCTCGTTTGTAAATGATCCTAACGTTCGATCTGCATAAATTTCAAAGTGGCTTGGAAAATTATAATTTAAAAATTGACGGTTGTGGTCAATTGGCACGAATCAGTAATGAAAAAAAAAAAAAAAAAAAAGACAAACTCGAACGGTGACAGTGATAAAGAAAGAATTCATTTTTTTTTTTTTTTGACATTTCTCTTACGATTTGCACAATACAGATTTTATCGTGTGAAACGAGGCCCATGCTGCGTTCA